TAATTACTTCCAGAGATACTACAGCAAAAAGTAATCCTCAAAGATGAAAACTTTAAACTTAACACACACACACACACACAGACATACACTCTTTAGCTGAGGCTTTAAATATACCAAATACAACAAAAAGTAAACATTGTCTCGGGGAACCAATACCCAGAATAAAAAAGAGAAAAAATTGAACCTGTATTACATTTGAATTTAGATATAAAAATAAAAAAATACTGCCAGAACCTGACACTACTTCGCCGGCGGACGGCGGTTGATAACTTTAAGTAGTTGATTTATGCTTGTGAAGGTGAATGGGTGGCCAAGGCAATGGAAAGAGGAAGAGAAGAAGAGGGGGGGGGGGGGCGTAGGTTGAGGGGGAGAAAGGGGGATTTAATCCCAAATTATTGTGGATTTTAACTTTTAAAACGATTTGATTAAACATAGGCTAAAATTGTACCTCTGTTATCTATCTATCTATCTATTTATCTATATCTATATATATCTATCTATCTATCTATATTATTATAAAAGCATAAATACAATGTCGATTTACAAAAATAACCTTATAATATTAAGCATAATAACTTATAGTAAAAGGACATATTCGAAATTTTAGATATTAGCTTTATAATCCTATTAGTTTTAGGACATAAGTACTGCTATGAATCCTAGAAAAGCATGAAAAAGTAATACTTACCGTTAAAAGTTCATAAGCATTCTACAATTTAAACTTCAAAAGAGATGATGAAAACTAGAAGGACTTTTTCGTTGCTTGGCATATAATCACTATTCACATATTTATTTTAGAAATTGTGCTATACATATATGTAATATCTAGATTTTGTGTAAATATCTTACATTCGCCACCCCAAAAATATGGACATGCATATATCATTGATTAATCTATCTATATCTATATCTATATCTATATCTATATCTATCTATATCTATATATATCTATATCTATATTATTATAAAAGCATGTATACAATGTCAGTTTACAAAAATAACCTTATAATATTAAGCATAATAACTCATAATAAAAGGATATAATCGAAATTCTAGATATTAGCCTTATAATCCTATTAGTTTTAGGACATAAACTATATGTTAGGAATCCTGCATGATTACTTTTAGGAATCATATTAACATAATTACTTTCAGACAAAGACATATAATACTACATGTTAGCATGTATACCTAATATCTTTAGGAACACGTTATGTTTTCTATTAATATAATTACTTTCGGGGTAGAGACGTGTTTTTAGTCATATAATCCTATTACTTTTAGGAAATACTTCTTAAAAATTTCTATTACTAATTTAATTTGAAAACGTATTATAATGTCCTATTACTAATTTAATTTGAGAATGTATTATATTGTCCGAATCGATTTAGAAAAAAGGAGAGCATAAATTATGATAAAAGCNCCTATTTTCTGGACTAATTTGAAAAATGTGTTATATTGTCCAAATCGATTTAGAAAAAGAAAATCCTATATTATTATAAAGGCACAAATACATTATTAATAGACCAAAATAGCCCTAAAATATTAAATGAAAGAACTCATAGGTAAAGGACATAACTGCAATAACCTAATTCTTGGACTACAATACCTTCTATGCTAACTTTTAATATTCAAAATCTATTAAATTCTTATTTAAAAATATGTAGGAAGGTTTAATAAAATCAATTTTTTTAATAATCCTCCATATTGGCAATACATTACCACTCCATAATGTCCAATACCAAAAAATAATAAAAGTAATATTAATTGGGCTGCATAAAGAGTTGAAATTGAGGAAAATAATATCCCCACGATAATATATTTTTATATTATATTTGAATTGTTTTCCTACTCAAATAACCATCACAAATATATATATCAAAGCAGAGCAATGATGCTAAATTTATAAAGAAAGCAAAATTGATAATATGGGATGAAGCACTTATAACTAAGTGTGTAACGATCGAAAACTGCCCAGAGTTCTAGAGATATATTGGATGTTAATGGACCGTTTGGTGAAAAAATTAATGATTTGGGAGGTGATTTCTATCAAGTACTACCAGTAGTTCCAAAATCGACAAAAACAAAGACTGTAAAAGCTAGCTCGCCAAAGTAATACTTCTGGCCTCAAATAAAAAAGATTCAACTGACAAGAAATATAAAGTAAGAACAGATCCGGCATTTAGTGTCTTCTTGCTTCATGTCGGAAACGAAGAAGAGCATCCAATAAAAGATGATTTGGTTCTTCTCGAATACTTGGTTATCAACCCCAATGCTAACAGTAGTGCATTTAGTAAGAGAAATATTTCTATCATTAGATTAAAATGCAATTTGCAAATCGCATGATAGAATTAAAAAGTTATCTTAGCTATCAGAAATAAATATGTTGATCAACTAAATAAAAGGTTAATTGCAAAATTTTATAGTAAAAACAAAATATTTTTCAGTTTTTGACTCAGCAGAGAATGATACCAATAATTACTACCAAGAAGAATACTTAAATACTTTAATATCAAATGGCCTTCTACCATACACATTTGTTGTCAAGTTTAATATTTCTTACGCATGTTAGTGTCACCGTATATATAATAGACTAAGTTATAATTGATCTTCCATTGTATATAGGTTGTTTTTGAAAAATATATGCTCGTCATGCTACTGAAAAACATAGATACGCCGAATAACTTATGTAATAGCACACAGATGGTATATAGAAGTTGTGACAGTAATGTTATACATGCAAAATTATGATACTGCTCAATGTGCTTCTAAGTATATTCTTATCCCTGAATTCAACTTTGGTCTTCCAAAACTAAGGAATATTCTTTTAAATTTGTGTCAAAATAATTTTAGTATGTTTACGTTTTTCAAATATAATAAATAAATCACTAGGACAAACATCCTAATATTAGATTATATTTACCGCAATATATTTTCTTGCACAAACAACTGTATGTTGCACTTTCAAGAGGGATATCAAAATCGGCAACAAGAGTTCTGGTTAAGGTAGAGTAACCAATTAGGAGGAAACATACACACACAAAAATATCGCCCACAAGAAGTGTTCGGTAAGATACCATCACATTAAATACTTTTAAATTATACTTCCTCCGATCCACTTTAAGGTTAATATGGTCAATTATATTGTTAATTAATGATAAAAGGTGAATTCCTTAATATGTGTGAAAGCAACCAAAAAATCACTTAAAGTAGACCGGAGGAAGCTAACACATTATTAGCTAAGTAACATGACAAAATTGATCATTTGTGTGATGTTGTCCTTTTATTTTAAATTCATCCATTATGCTAATATAATAATATTTTTAGGTATTTAGATGATTATTATATTATTATATACAAAATTTCTCTCATTAATTAAATTTTATTGTTCCTTCATATAATTAAATGTTTAAACCATTACGTGTCATTACTAACGTGCAACGCACGTTCATAAATACTAGTTTTGTAAAAAGTATTAATGTATTTATGAGATAATAGTTTTTTAAAGTGAATTGAGGTAGAAGAAAGAAAAATCATGAGAATTATTGGACTCACCTATAAATATCATGTTAATGTCTATTGAAATTATAGTAACAATAATGTAGGCAAGTAAAATTATATCTTTTTTGTTATAAAAATTCGATAAAACTCAATTTCTCGTCGTACATCATCAGTGTTTCACTATTCATACTCCTAAAATTTTACCAAATGTGCTTTGGAGAAGATTTGAAAGTCTTCTCGTTTTAGGAGAAGATAAATTAAAAAGAAAAATGTTTTCTACTAATTTTAGAACTCTATCCTTTTTTAATATTTTCCTATTATAGTAGGTATATTTGGTTATATTTCTTAAAACGTACGTTCGTTTTCTATATTTTCATAAGTATTTGAGTAAAGGATACTTTGGTGTGCATTTAGTGTTTATTTGATCGCATTCCTAGAAGATCAATTTCTTAAAAATATATGTATATAAGACGTGATTTATATTTTATTTCCTCTATTATAGAGTGAGAGTTTTATTTTAAATTTTTTCCTTCTTTATTTTCTTTTTCTCCCCCCCCCCCCCCCCCCTACACTATTCTTCTTTTTCTTTCCCCCTTCTTTTCTTACTCACTAGTATACGTACCCGTGCATGAACAGCGAGAGATACAATAAAAATAGATGTATATGTAGCATTAATCGTGTGAAAGACCAAAGTCCTCTCCATTGTTGTATCAATTAAAAGTGTCCTTGCTTGTTATTTTTGCCTTTAAAAGTACAATTGGAATATTTATGCATAACATTTTCTTCCATATTCTTGATAATAATATATTGCATAGACGCTCGAGATCATATGTCGTCATCTAATATAATAACACATTCCTCTGTGGGTTCGATTATATAATTTTAAAATTTGAAATTCTCGCATATAACTTCATTTTAGGAAGAAAAATGCTAGATGTGATGAACAAAACTCAAATGTTTTATTCTATAAATTATGATTGATGTTAGTACAAATTAATTTTATGATATTTGGAACTAAAAGTAATTGTTAACCAAGTTAGTGATTAAACACCCAAAAATAATGCTTGAATAGGCAGTTTCTTAAGTTTTGAAATAACGCAATCCATTAGTGTGACTTTAGTTTTTTTTTTATCATACTATTCTTTCTGTTATCATAATTATAATTCGAGATGAATTAATATCTCATATGAGATTATTTCTAAATAAACATGTAATTACAAATGAACCACTTTATGATTTTCATCACGAGTTACACGTAAGAAGCTAAGGGACTGAAGATTGAAATGATGATTATGGATAAATAACAAATGAATTTAAAAGATTAGTAAATAAAGATTTTTTTTAGATTCATTTAGTTATAAATTATTCTTATTCATTTTGAATCATGTTATATTTTCATATTATATGCAGAGGCGGATCTAGAGTATGGTATATGGATTCTCGGGAACCCAGTAACTTTTGGAGATCTAACTTAATTCATTCTGGAGGCTCCAACCAGGGATAAGAACATGAGTGCTCCAAGATTAGCATCTTATTATCAACTATAGCTATCCATGTATAAATAAAATAAGTGTCATCATAAGGACAAATTAAAAGTAAGCGATGTATTTACCTCGCATTCCATCGCTTCATCTACGCCTTCAATAGTATTGAAGTCGGGATCCTAACAAATATAAAAAAATAAGTGAGTTCAAAAAAGACTTAAAACATGCAATTTAACGAAAATCTGCAACTTAAATACAGTTTTTTGCAACTGGTTATCCCATGAATATGCACATCGAAATTAAAAAATATATGAAGAGCATATCAAAAAATTCAGATTTGTAAATACACACCCATGTAATCAAAAAATAGAGTTACCAAAACGAATTATGAGAAAATAATAGTTTTTAATACCTTTTCATCTTGCAGAACTGATTCAATCGAGAAAGTAGCATCTCAATTGTAACGATCTGGTATTTTTCACAGACGAACAATCCGAACTTTCAACTTTCATTGCATTTGCGAAATTATTATATCATTAACTAAATCACTTTGAGTAGCCATATTTTGCAAGCCGTATGTTTCTTGAATTTTTGGTAGCAACATGAAGATTTGAATCGGTTGGAGAAATGTTCGTTTGCCTCAATTTTTTTTTTTTTGGGTTTCTCTGTTTGATGTCTGCATAGCAAAGTTGCTTGATTAGGGTGGTTTCCACAAGTATCTCTGACTTGGAAGTGGCTGAAGTAATTCAAAATTTATTATGTCTGTAGAGATTTGATTGATTGTAGTGATGTGGTTGGTGTTGCATCTACTTTTCTCAACTGCTTTCATTTGACTGCCGCCTCATATCCTGAAGCTAATCACTGGTTCAAATATACTTTAACATTAAAATTTTCAATAACTGCTTCAAAATAGCTTTATGTAAAAATCTTTTTATAATTTTGATCCTAAGTACTTATTGTTTCTTATGTAAGTTTTGACTTTGACGATATTTATTGTGCACTTCATCGATCATCGTAGATTTCTTGGCGGTGGAGCATGTTGGTTTAATATTCCAGGCCATGGATATATGTAAGTTGAGAAAGAGTCGGTCACAAAAGGAATTACCAAGTAGAAAACAGCTAATTCAAAGCATGCCCATTGAATAAGAACTTGCACTAATGGCACCAACCATCTTGACATGTGCGAGCAAGATTAACCTTAGATAAGGTATGGACGAAACATAGGTTTTTAAACTATATGAGTGCGCACTTTTAGCTTGAAACCTATTATATTTTAAAATTAGAGTTTAGACTCATTACCTAATTATATACGGCTGCATCCGCCTTTCAGACAAAGAGTATAGTGAACATGACGAATCTAGAATATGCGGATGAACAATTAATGCAAGAGGAGTGATAGTTTTTGAGTGGAGATACACATAAAATAGAATGTATTTGAATCCCCTCAAGAAGCAATAGTGTATCGGCAACTCGCGTGCAACTCTTATCAAAACAGGAAAGAGAAAAATAATTAGTAGAAAGGCATGTTTAATGGTTCCATGAAATATTTGGTGCACAAACCTAATAGTATTTAATTGACCGACACTTAAATTGGCACCCAAACTCTTTAACCTAACTCATACTGAGGCATGGTATTAACTGACAATATCTTCACATATTTATGAGTAACATGCAACACAAAAAGATATACAGAATAATGTTACTACATGTGAACCTGATTGAGATACTTTGTCTATTTAAGAAAAAAGTTACAAAATTCACCTTCATAATTGTTGTGTTGAACTCAACCAAGAAAAATGGTACTTTAGGAACCATAGCCAAAAGTGCTGACGAAAGTAATTAAAAGACCCTAATATGTGAACCATCGGGATATTGCTGAAGTATAAAATGTGGTTCAATCATAGTGAATACAGAACAACCACAAAAAACTTTCACATGAAGAAAAATGAATATTACCGAAGAAAGAAGACAAATCTACGAAGGGTCTGGACCTAATTTTTTGTATATATTGTAGTTCAGAATTCCCTTTTGGACGACAAAAGCTGATTGTGGTTTTGCGATGCCTGCAGAGAGATATAATTATGTGAAAAGCAGAATAACATAAATTCATAACTGATTTAAGAAGAATATGCTTATAAATATACAAATAATTTGGACTTGATTTTGTATATATTGTAGTTATAGAAGTACTCTGTCACGACCCAATTTCCACACCCGGTCGTGATGGCGCCTCTCGTGAAGACAAGGCCAGTCAACAGAACACCAATAACTCTTTAATAATTACTTAGAATGAATAAGTCTAAACCATTAATAAAATTCCCATAAGTGCGGAAGAAAAGTGATAAAAATAGGGAACCATCCCAACACAGCCCGACCGGGGTGTCACAAGTCACGAGCATCTAGAAGGATTTTTAATACAACTACAAGGCCTGTAATACATGGATAAAAATTTAGAATCAAAAAGAAGAAATCCGGTGCCGCGAACGCTGGCGGTCACCTTGCTCAGCTACGATAGCAAAATCCTCAACCAGCTCAAACCCGCTACCGGGTAAACAAGTACCTGCATCTGCACGCGAGGTGCAGGGAGTAAAGTGAGTACTCCAACTCAATGAGTAATAAAAGTAAATAATAATTGAGCAGCAAGAAACCACGTAAAACAAGTCATCATGCTATATAGAACAGTGTAACCCTTTGAGAAAAATAGTGAAACCGTGAAATTTTTTAGAAATATCTGGACTCAGTTTAAAACCTCTTTTGAAAATATCTCTTTCCAACAGTTAAGCAAATGAATGCAAAACAGATAGTGCAAGTCAACACAAAAGTCAACCCCTCGGGCACATCACTCCATTAACGAATAACACCAGGGAATCCGGTAAGCAACGCAGAAATAGCATGGAAGCCAATGAAATGAGAGTGCTGAAATGTCTTGACAAATAAGACAAATAGGAACAAATGCATGAGTGCAATGCAATGCATATGACGGTACACTCCGGTACCCACTGCGGCGTGCAACCCGAGCCATCCATATATTTAACGTGGACGGCGCTCACTGGGGGTGTGTACAGACTCCGGAGGGGCTCCTACAGCCCAAGCGCAATATCAAGCCATCTCGTGGCATCAACCAGGCCCTCGGCCTCAAAATCAATATAACACCGCTGCGGCGTGCAGCCCGAGCCATCCATAGTCCAGAAATACACATGTAATACTGCTGCGGCGCGCAGCCCGATCCATGCTCAGTCCAGAAATGCACATAAGCCACTTGGGCAATTCAACATGGTAGTTCTCAGCTCAAAACGTCAATAAAATATTGTTTAAGTTTTCAAATCTTAGAAAAATGGCTGAGTTTGCAAAACAGTATTAAAACCTTGGACCGAGATCAGATAATATGCAAAGTAATGCGAAAACAGTGATAACAATCCCTAAAGGATTCAAATAATTGGCACGAAGCCCAAATACGGCAACCAGCCCAAATCATGAAAACATCAAATAAGTTTCAGTCAATTACGCGGTAAAATCAACAACCGGGACGGACCAAGTCACAATCCCCAACGGTGCTCTACCCCACGCTCTCTATCCGGCGTGCAAGTCACCTCAATATAGCATTATGGGTGCAAATCCGGGGTTTCAAACCCTCAGGATATCATTTACAATCATTACTCACCTCGAACCGGTGAAATCTCTAGCTCGCGACGCCTTTGCCCCTCAAATCGGCCTCCACGCGCGTTGAATCTAACCAACATCAGAGCGAATATATCACAATATGCTAAGGGAACAATACCCTATCGAAAACAATCGAAAAATAACAAAAATCTCGAAACTAGCAAAACCCGAGCCCCGGGCCCACTTCTCGAAAACTCAGAACATTCACATCAATGGATTCCTCATCTCGCCACGAGTCTATACATATCAAATTTACTAAAATCCGAGCTCAAATGCTCCCCAAATCCCAAATTTCCTTTCTCTTAAGTTCAAGCCCTAACCTCCATTTTTGACCTCTAATTCCTTGATTTTTCACCCTTAATTCATGTAATAACACATTAGATTTATGTTTTAGGCTCAGAATCCCTTACCTCAATGAAGTCCCTTGATTCCCTCTCCAAAATCGCACAAAAACCTCCAAGTCCGAAGTGAAAATGTTGAGTTCTTTCAAAAATTCGCGAAGATGGAATTAATACCTCTGATCAGGCCCTTTTCGCTTCTGCGATAATACTGTCGCTTCTGCGACACCGCTTTTGCGGATTTTATTCTGCTTCTGCGGTTCTTCCAATTTTTACCCAGGACCGCTTCTGCGGTCCACCAGTCCGCTTCTGCGGAAACTCCCTAGACTCCCCATCTCGCTTCTGCGGCTTCCCCTTCGCTTCTGCGGAACCGCTTCTGCGGTCCATTTCCGCAGAAGCGAGAACACCAGATACCAGACCCTTCAGCAGTCCTTAAACTCCAAATTTCATCCCGATAGCCATCCGAAATCACCCCGAGGCCCCCGGGACCTCAACCAAAAACACCAAAACATCCTAAAACATCATTCAAACTTCTTCCAATCATCAAAACACCTCAAACAACACTAAAACCATCGAATTACATCGAATTCGAGCCTAAGTTCTTCAAAAACTTCCGAAATGCACTTCCGATCAAAAAACCGACCAAACGACGTCCGAATGACCTGAAATTTTGCGCACACATCGCAAATCACATAACGAAGCTACTGCAACTCTCGGAATTCCATTCCGACCCTCGGATCAAAATCTCACCCATCAACCGGAATTCGCCAAAATACTAACTTCGCCAATTCAAGCCTAATTCTACACCGGACCTCCAAAATCAATTTCGATCGCACTCCTACGTCACAAATCATCCCCCGAAGCTAACCAAATCACCGGAAACCACATCCGAGCCCTCTAACTCGTAAGGCAACATCCGGTTGACTTTTCCAAAACAAGCCTTCCTTAAAGAGACTAAGTACCTCATTTCTACCAAAACCAATCCGAATAACCTATAACACACCAAATACTGATAATGAAACATGAAGAAGCATAAAATGGGGGAAACGGAGCGGTAACTCATGAGACGACGGGTCGGGTCGTCACATACTCTTTCCAACGGCACAAGAGGATTGTCTATTCGACCTGTGTGCATATAGATGTGATCTTTTTGGTCATAATGCTCAAAGATGTAAAAAGTACAATTCCAGAAATTCATAACTGAAATCAAAGGTATATTTGTATTAATTTACGAAGAATATGGACCTTAATATTTTATATATTGTAGTTGTAGACATGTGATTTTTGACCCTCCCCAAGATTTTTTTTGTATTTTAGCACGTAAATATTTAATTTAGGCTTAACCCGTTGGGCTTTTACGGAGCTTGGCCTGCTTTCGCATTAACTCACCATTTGGTGATTTGGTTCGTAGCAGCCCAAGTATATCCAGGAGTTCCTTTTACACGCTACGCTATCCTCATAGCTATTTCAACTCATTTTGACTCTTTTACTTTATTTTATTACAAGAAAAAATGAAAATTACAAAAATATTTTAGTTTATGTATTTTTCATAAATTTTTTTTTTAAAAAAATACAAAAATAGTACCTTATTTTTATCTTTATATAATTTCAAAAACACAAAAATAGT